ACAGCAATGGGTTTGTGCTTTTCTGCTTTGTTTTTTTTTTGTTTTTCCTGGTAGGGAGTGGAGAATTGTCCACTTGCAGTAGCAGCACATTAAGCCCTTTAACACCTTGGCACCGAAAGGTGCCAGGATCTCTGGTTAGAAAAGCACCATTGAGGCTAAACCCTTCCCCCACCCCCCACCCCCCCCAAAAAAAAGAAATCAGGAGATGGGAGGGGAAGAGAACAGTTGCCTACACAGTGGTTCAGAACTTGGGCTCTAGGGACCAGTGCTTGGGTTCAATTTCTAGGTCTTCCTCTTTCCTTGTTACCCTCAGCAGGTCATTCCATCTCTGCAAGCTGCAGAATCCTGATCCACTAAAAGGGGATCCGAACTAGACGGCGGTCACAGGGGTTCCAGACCTGAGCAGAGATAGAATGTACAGTATAGCGCTTGCTGCATGGGGGACCCTCAGACTATCTACTGTTGTTAGCTGGCTTGCAATTCAGACTGCTGTGATCCACAGGATTTTCACTGGATGATTTTTGGAAATAGATCACTAGACCTTACGTCATAGTCTGAAAGTTCCACTGAAACATGTACAGCAAACATCCTAACAACTCACATGAGGTGCACTGACCGGAACACAAACCCAGGTCTCCCACATGCTGCTGTTGTTGCTAAGTGCCACTGAGTTGATTTCAACTCACAGAGACTCTGAATAGGGTTTCTGAGGAGCGGCTGGCAGGCTTGAACTGCCGACCTTGCAGTTAGCAGTCTAGTGCTTATCAAACAGCGCCAAATGGTCTCCCCCTAAAAATGTCAGAATTCGACTACTCAATCACCAATGCCTTATAGACTATCTATTGTTGTTGTGTGCTGTTGAATCCATTCCAACTCATAGCAACCCCATGGTGGTGGTTATGTATAATAGAGTCGGTTCTGACTCAAAGCAACCCTGTACAGGGTTTCCAAGGCTGGAAATCTTTACAGGAGCAGAAAACTTCATCTTTCTACCACGGAACAGCTGGTAGTTTCAAACTGCTGACTTTGAGGTTCATAGCCCGATTCATAACCACTATGCTACCAGAGCTCCTTTGTTGTTGTTGTTGTGTGCCACGGAGTCGGTTCCGACTCATACCAACCCTGTACAGGGTTTCTGGGGCTATAAATCTTTACGGGAGCAGAACGTCTCATCTTTCTCCCGTGGAACAGCTGGTAGTTTAACTGCTGACCTTAAGGTTTGCAGCCTGAATAAAAACACCTCCATAAGATTTCCTAGGCTGCATTCTTTACAAGAAAAGATCAGCAACTAAGTCTTTTCTCTCAGGAGTTGCTGGTAGATTGCAACCTGCAACCTCTCAGTGCTTAACCATTGCACCACCTGGGTTCTTATATGTTATTGCTATTGTTATTGTTGTTAGGTGCTATCCAGCCAGTCCCAACTCATACTGACCCTATACACAACAGAAATGCCCGGTCCTGCACAAACCTCACAATCATTTCTTTGCTTGAGCTCACTGCTGCCACCACCATGCCAATCCATCTCATTGGAGGTTTTCCTCCTTTTCTCTGACCCTCCACTTCACCAAACATGATGTCCTTCTCCAGGGAATGGTCCCTTCTGACAATATGTCCAAAGTAAGACAGATGAAGTCTGGACATCCTGGCTTCCAAAGAACATTCTGCCTGTACTTCTTCAAATACAGATTTGTTTGTTGTTTTGGAAGTCCAGGGTATTTTTAATATTCTTCTCTAACACTAGAACTCAAATGCATCAATTCTTCTACGGTCTTCCTTATTCACTGTCCAACTTTCACATGCATATGAGGTTATTGAAAACACCAAGGCTTGGTTCACACGCACCTTACTCCTCAAACTTATATCTTTGCTCTTCAACACTCTAAAGAGGATTTGCCTAAAACAATAAATACATCATTTGATTTCTTGACTGCTGCTTCCATGAGTGTTGATGGTTCATCCTAGCAAAACAAAATCTTTGACAAACTTCAATCTTTTCTTTATTTATATGGATGTTGTTTATTGATCCAGTGGTGAGGATTTTTTGTTTTTACATTGCAGTGCAACCCATACAAAAGAGACTCTCTTGGTTATTTATTGCTTAAATGTACATCCCATTTTTCTCTCCACCCAAGCAATTTTGGAGTTCTGGTGTGGCGGTGTGGGCTAAAGCGTCAAGACTGTAAAGTCGTTTGAACTGCAAGATCGGTGCTTCAAGCTCCAGCTGCTCCTTGGAAACTCTATACAGGGTCACTGTGGGTCGGAATTGACTTGACAGCCTTAACAACAACAAGGAATTTTATTTTAGCTTCGTAGTATCAGCAGAGAATAAACGCATGACCCTTGGCCATTAGTAGAGTAGGAACACTCATTCCAGGTTCAGAAGTCACAAGCTGCTACCCTCTCCAGTCGGCTGAGAAAACCCTGAAGGTGATCACAGATCTTTCAGGGAAACATTCAAGCCATGCATCCTTATGCACAAGACACTAACGCCTATGAGATTACATTACGCATCTGGAAAGGCTGTACACATAGATTTTGCTATAAAGCACCTTATCATTAAATCAAGCAGGGAAAGAGATACAGAATACTTCATTCCTCCTAAAATGTAAAAATTAAATCCAGACTGTAAAAACTGCCCTCCTTGGAAACATGGTAATGTTTAAATGAGAAATAACATTGAATGGATTACTTTCTTGGCCAAGGTAAAGATATAAGCACAGGTGCTCAGTACATGCCTGTTAATTAAATCTTAACATTTTCAAATAAAGGTCAGTGGATTTGTTTGATAAAGGCAAAGCATTACATGTATTTATAAAGGCTTTTTTTTTGATCACCCAAGAGAAGTATTTTTTTCATTTTTTCTAAGACTGTTTTTGCATCTTCTTCTTTCCTTCCTTTTTCCTCTGAAGACAGAAGGGCATGGGGCTCTTCTTTTCACAGCACCCACACCATTCTAATCTAGCTTACTAATAGAATTTATTTCTACTTGAAAATCAACATGTGCTTTTTTTGTGTCAAGACACATATTTCTTAAACGGGAGTCAGTGGGTTTGTCCCACAAGAGAATCTGAACCTAAACCCACTGCTACCATGTGAATTCCAACTCACAGTAATCTTTCTTATAGGACAAAGTAGAACTACTCCTTCGGTAAATCTTTAGGGGAGCAGACAATCTTGTTTGCTCTCTTCTTTGTCCAGAGGAGTGGTTGGTGGGTTTGAATCCCTGACCATGAGATCAGCAGTCCAGTGGTCATTTCACAGTACCACCAGAGCTCTTTAAAGATCATCACTGAACCCCCAAAGAGATTCATGATCACAATCTTGTGAAATAAACCTGTTTACAAGGTCCCTACCCATAACACATGTTTTCACATGGTGGTGGTGGCTGTCCCCAGGGTCTGTTAAATTGATCAGCTTCTGGTCAAGTTAAGCTTCCTCAGCTGACCATCATTCCCACTCACCCACCCACCCCGCCCTCCAGCCACCACCCATCCTTGATGATGGCCAAACCCAGTCACATGCATCCCCATGACTTAGATGAAAGGGAAATTAGAAATGAAGTTTTAAGCAGAATACACTGTTGAAGTGCTTTCTGGTTTTGTCTGGTCTTTTTCTTAAAAGTAAACTGAACAAGGGTGAGCATTTTTTTGGTAGCTTCTCTTTTTTCTTCTTTTTAAGAGTTAGCATGGTATGCCTGTACTTATAAGAAACTCTTGAATAATTTAATTAGAATTATACAAAAGTAATGACTATGTTCTATTTATGGGAAATCATAACTGAATTAAAACCCAAATGACAATGTTAAAAATAAAAGTATTTTCGCACAGTATATTCAATTGATAAGAAAGCCTAACTTCAAATCACATTTACATTTGTCATTAAGTGCCACTGAGTCAGTATTGACTCAGTGCGACTGTCTGTATAGGGTTTCCCAGGCGTGGCTGGTGGGTTTGAACTGCTGACCTTATGTTTTGCAGTCGTTGTTTATCCTACAGCGCCGTACTAGAAATTTTTGAAATGAAGAAGGGACAAGTTCCTGGGAATATTAGTTTCTTGCTACAAAATGTGCCAGTACATGAAAATCTGAATAAGAGAAAAGGGAAGCTGTTTGAACTTATTTAGAATGAATATTATCAGCTTGTCATTGGGGCTTGATCCTTTGTCAAGTTATTCCTTGAAGACTAGCTCAGCCCATATATATATATATATTTTTTTTTTTTTTTTTTTTTTTTTTTTTCCCTAGCAGGTTCAGTTTCAGCAATTAATATTTTTCCTGTACACGTGTACAGTTGCAGTGGTGATGAGGGCTGGGCATCTGGGTGAACGAAAAGAAAGCTAACAAACCAACTCCAAGTAAGCAAAGGGGGTGCGGAGGCAGAGCCTCTCCCCTCCGTGGCACTTTGAAACACTGTTGCTTTCTGCTGAGCTCATGTATAAATCCCTCTTTACAGGGTACTGCGCCTTTGGATGCTGGCCACAAGCCTCTTTAGCAATGAGACAGCATGGGTTGGGGGGTGGGGGTGGGGGTGGATATCAACGCAAGGTGATTTTCCTCAATAATAATAACAGCCGCATCTTGCCCAAAGGCCAAGCGCCGCTTCCTCCCTGGAAGGAGGTGTAGCTTGTCAGCAGCAAATCGTGTTAGGTGCAAGTTACGGGTCTCCTCTCACGGACCATCCTAGCGAAGAGGGTTGGGGGAGGGGAGCTCACAAGTTCTTCAACACTTGCTTGCACCTCTTGGCTACACCCCCAAGAGAGTGGTTGGCACTACTTATTCCTCCCAAATGCAGGAGCCTCCGCTCGCTCGGCTCCCCCGAGACCCTTTGCATCTCCCCCTCTCTTATCTAGACAGTGACTGTGGTTGGCCGTTGCAAAGACGCACTGACCCATCGCCCCGCACCCCAAGACCCTCCGAACAGCCCGCGGCTGCAGCCGGGATAAGGCAGTAACAGCGGTGCGAGTCCCCAAACCAGCTCGCGGGCGAGCGCCCAGAAACCTACCTTCTGCGGGGGGGTCCCGATCAGCATCTCCAGGTAGTAGCCGCGACCCGAGTCTCCCTGCAGGTTGTCCACCACCGCCAAGAAGTTGGTCGCGCCCCCGGCGGGCTCCAGGGCGAGCGCCAAGCCGTCAGCTCGGGGCGCGGCGGGGGTCACAGAGGCTACCTTTGTCCCTGGGGTGGGTGAAACCCCTCGGGGCACTGCCGAGGCCACGCGTAGGGGCAAGGTGAAGGGCGCTGGGGCCAGCGCCGGAGCTGCCCACAGGAGCCACTGTGCAAGCAGCGGCAGCAGCAGTACCGGGACCAGCGCGCCCATGCCGGCGGCGGGGCCCGGGGGGCGTGCGCGTCCAGGCCCGTCCCGTCCGGCGGCGGCTGCGGTTCCGCTACTTGCAGGGCGCTGCGGGGCTGCAGGCTGGGCTCACACTGGGCGGGCGGGCGGCAGTAGCAGCGGGGGAGGAGGATGGGAGGAGGAGGACCTAGAGAAGGAGGAGGAGGATTTAAGGAGGAGAATCTAGGAGAGGAGGAGGAAACTGCAAGCCCGCCCCCAGCCCACGCCGCCAAGTTGAGCAAGTTCTTTGCCGCTGCCCCCTCTGGCGGGCACTGGCAGCCCCGCAGGGATCTGACCCCTCCTCCGAGGCCAAGGTCAAGGCAAGGCGTGGGCCCGACCGGGAACCACCCGGGATCGGTGTTGCTCTAGTTGGATGGTCTCCTGCCGCGCCTCTTCCCCTGGAAACTCAAGTCCCGAATTTCCTCGGAATGCGCCCCGGCGGCCACGGCCAACGGATGTGACGAGGCTCCTCAGCTATCAGGGGGGAAAGTTTCAGGAACCCTTAAAGGGGCAGTAAGAGCCTGAACAAGCCTTTGGCCCCGCGCGAAGGGGACTTCCAAGTGTTCTCTGACCCAGCAGCGATGAGGACTGCAAGGGTGACTTGGAGGTCAGAGAGAAGAGCAAGCATCATGAAAGAGCCATGAATAAATATCACAGGAGTCTGGAAACTTGTGCCTGTCTCCCTTTGCCAAGTGCACGCTCTATCACCCTTCTATCTACCCATGGTCCAGCGGCTTCTCAGGTCGTATCCAGTACCCTGACCAGCCACCTTCCCTATTCCTTCCAGTTACCTGTTCCCAGGTCAGAGGTTGAGGCTTCTCTTGCCTTTGATGACTCAGCTCTAAAAGTCCTGGGGCGCTTGTAACTAACACGGTGCACAGCAAGACTCCGATTGCTTGTGTTACCCACTGGTTTAGGGCCTGGCCTTTTCTGCCCCTCGTTTGTGGGGCTTCAGATGCTGCCTGAGCTGGTCTCACCTAACCTGGGATTCCCTTTGTTGTTGTTATTGTTAACTGCCATCGAGTCGGTTCCGGCCCATAGCGATCCTGTATCGATCGTGCTTCCAAGGTGCTAAGCTTGAACCGCCGACCTTTTGGTTCCAACCGATTTTGCAGTCCAGCGCCTCCCCTTAGTCCACCTAGTAAATTGCTGTGTCCCAAGTCTACACTGATCCCATCTCCCTTTCCTCCCCTCCCTAGCCAGCTCTTCGAGGATTACCTAATTAATACTTGTTTAGCCCTAGACAGTACACCCGCAGAAATGCGTTCAGTAATGCAAGCAATGAGGGTTATTTTATTTTAGCTACTCAACGCAGAGGGGACAATTACACAAGCTAACGTCCATCGATTTCTATTGAAACAAGGAATAGAAAAATCTTTCTACCTCCTCCAGCTGAATTATGTTAGCTGTTTTAAAAACAAACAAACTCATCTTCAAACATTGGGGAGGTAGAAGCTAAGCTTGACTCCTGGCTGCAATTTCCAGCTACTTCTACTCAAGATTTGATTTTTATTCCTGTCTTCCCAATTTTAGAAGCAAGTCTAGCTCTGTGAGGAACCCTTATGTCAGGGACCTTCAGCTATATTGATTTTCAGACGACTTTAACTAGAAACCACATTTTCCCCAAACTATCTCCTTACTTTAACAAATCTCCAATGGCATAAAGAAAGCCATAGTTGAGTCCCATGATATGATCTAAATTGATATTCCCCATAAATCTGCATACTTATTTCAGAGCTATTACATTCGTATATTCACATTTGAAATTCAAGGTTGTAGAGAAAGCATTATTTAAAAAAAAAAAAAAAGATTGTTTATAATCCTCAGTGTCCAGTGTTGAAAGGTTCAAAAATATAGAGCAATATAAAGAGTACAATTCTTGCAAAAAATACACATGAATATAGGCAACTGCATGCCATAGGTTCAACATTAGAGATGTGCTTTCTCTAATAATTAAAAAACACAAGGGAAATTTTTAGAAATTAAATCTAATTAAAATTAGCCTTGTGTTTGTGAGCCCTCTAACGACTCTAACTAGTATAAATATTCCTGAGCTTTAAATTAAAAAAAAAAAAAAAAGTTTAGGTTACCAGTATGTTGTTATTGTTAAGTGCTGTTGAGTTGGTATAGGGTTGCCAAGGAGTGGCTAGTGAGTTTTAACCACTGATCTTGTGGTTCAACCCAACCTTGCGGTCCAGTGCTTTATCCCACAGCACCACACCAGGATGCCTGAAGCTTAAAGACATAGCAAAACAGAGGCACAGGCACTGTTAATAGATGGCAGAGCTGTCTCATGAGAAAAGATGCAAGTGCAGTGGGTGACAGCATTTGTTCACAGTCTTCCTGGTCATCTCTATTTTTATGAATAGTCTGAAAGTTCTTGATTCCTACTTAGGACTATGATGATGGCTGAATTTGGGGAACAATAATTTTGCTTTGAAGGTATTTTAAGTAAAGCCATATGGGGTCCTCTCATGTTGGTTTTATATCAGCCTTGAAACACTTCCCCAAGAGAAAATCCACTCCCTAAAGTATTGGTGAGCAACACAGGGGATAAGGAAGGAAGGTGAACTTCACCCTATCCTATATTGTTGTTGTTTAGTGCCATTGAGTCTGTTCTGACTCATAACGATCCTGTACAGGGTTTCTAAGGAGCAACTGGTAGATTAAAATTTCCAACCCTGCAGTTCAAACTGACCTATGTTGTTGTTAAGTGTCATCGAGTCAGTATCAACTCATAACAACCCTATTCAAAACAGAACAAAACACTGCCCAGTCCTGGGCCAACCTCACAATTGTTGTCACGCTTGAGCCCACTGATGCTGTCACTTAGCCAATCCATCTCACTGGGGTTCTCCCTCTTTTTCTCTGACCATCCATCCACCTTAACAAACATGATATCCTTCTTCAGCGACTGGTCCCTCCTGACAATATGTCCGAAGTATGAGAGATGAAGTTTGGCTATCCTGACCTCTAAGGAGCACTCTGGCTGTACTTCTTCCAACACAGATCTGTTGCTTCTTTTGGCAGCCTATGGTACTTGCAATATTCCCTTCCAACACCATAACTCAAAAGCAACAAACAGCCTTCTTATTCACTTTCTGTCTTTCGCATGCATATGAGGTTATTGAAAATACCATGACTTGAGTTGGGTGCACCTTAGTCTTCAAGCTAGCATCTTTGCTCTTTAACGCTTTAAAAAGGTCTTGTGCAGCAGATTTGTCTAATATAATACGTCATTTGATTTATTGACTGCAGCTTCCATGAGTGTTGATAGTTGATCCAAGAAGAATGAAGTCCTTGATAACTTCAATCTTTTCTCCGTTGATAAGAATGCTGTTTATTGGTCCAGTAGTGAGGATTTTTGTTTTCTTTACATTGAGATGCAATCCATACCGAAGGCTGTGCTCTTTGATCTTCATCAATAAGTATTTTAACCCCTCTTCACTTTCTGCAAGCAAGGTTGTATCAGCTGCATATCACAAGTTGTCAATGAGTCCTCCTCCAATCTTAACACCACTGTTTTGTTTATATAACCCAGCTTCATGTAACCCATTTCAAGAGGTAGCATATGATCAAGAGCCAATGATACTGAAGGAAGAAGTCCAAGGTGCTTTGAAGGAACTGGCAAAGAACAAAGCACCAGGAATTGATGGAATAAAAATGGAAATCTTTCAAGAAGGTGAGGCGGCACAGGAGGCACTTACTCATCTATGCCAAGAAATTTGGAAGAAAACTGTCTGGCCAACTGACTGGAAGACATCCATATTTGTGCCCATTCCAAAGAGAGGTAACCCAACAGAATGCAGAAATCGTCGGACAATATCTTTGATATCTCATGAGAGTAAAGTTTTACTAAAGGTAGTACAGAAACAGCAAGCATACATTGACAGAGAACTTCCAGAGGTTCAAGCCTGTTTCAGAAGAGGCCGTGGAACGAGGAATATCATTGCTGATGTCTGACGGATCTTGGCTGAAAGCAGAGAATACCAGAAAGATGTTTACCTGTGCTTTATTGACAACGCAAAGGTTTTGGATTGTGTGGATCATGAAAATCTGTGCACAACATTGCAAAATACGAGTATTCTACAACACTTAATTGTGCTCATGAGAAATCTGTACATGGACCAATATGTAGTTGTTCGAACAGAACATGGGAGTACTAAATGGTTTAGTATTAAGAAAAGTGTGCGACAGGGTTGTAATCTTTTACCATACTTAAGCTGACCTATAGCACTCCCCAAACATCCTCTACAGAGTTACCTGCCCCTCACCACTGTATCCATGACCTTATTCTCCCTACAACATTGTGAGCACCTTTCTTTTCTGCTACAGACCTCCAACAGCCACTCAAGGGAGAAAAAAAACACACAATTAGATGTGTATCCCCCCTTGAAAGAAGTCTCTGGAGAGTGTACTTGGCTACTAACTTAAACTTTGATAGTTCATGTTCACTCCGAGGAGAAAGGCCTGGGCCCGCTGATCTACTTTTGAAAGGTCATTGCTTTTAAGTGTCGTGGAGTGGGTGGTGCCGACCCAAAGCGACCCTGTATAGGGTTTCCAAGAAGCAACTGGTGAGCTTGAACCACTGACCTTGCAGTTCAAACAACTTTGCAGTCTGACGAATTAGCCCACAGCGCCACACCAGGACTCCACTGGGAAGGTCATAGCTATTAAAAATCCTAAAGAGAGCGATTCTAATGTGACTGAAATGGAGATGCCATGTATAGCAATCAATTGGACAGCAACTGTTTATTTTCTATTGTTGTTGCCCCGACCCCCATTGGAAAGAACAAATATTCTCATTAGGCATATCTCTGGGCAGCATAGTTGAAGAATGGTCTACCTCTTCTGCTCAAAACACTAACCAAAATTTCCTTTCAATAATATGTCTGCCATGAGAAGGTGAATGGGACTACACTCAATATATATATATATTTGTTTGACAGAGGATATTTCTTCATATCTATTATTTGTTGTTGTTGTTGTTAAGTGCCGTTGAGTTGGTTCCAACCCATAGCTACCCTGGATAGGGTTTCTGAGGAGCAGCTGGTGAGCTTGAACCACCAACCTTGCAATTCAA